TTTTATAAAATTAAATATAAAAAAAATTTGCCATTAAGTTTATATATAATTTTAAAAATATACCGTCTACCCTTAAACTCTAAGGTTTCTTTTTATATAGTTAATATCCGAATCAAGTTTCCCAACCGTCTTATCAAGTTTCTTATCAAGTTTCTCAACAAGTTTCTCAACCTTCTCATCAAGTTTATTAAGTTTTATATTTAAATATATAGGACGTTTAAAATTTAGTGATTTTGTACTTATTAGTTATTATCATTAAACCTTCTTCAGTACCTTATTAATCGGCGTAACTGCACGTTCAATTGAAGTGTTGATTATATTCCAAATACCATATAACGAACTAGCTCCTACTCCTATGAAAGTACCATAATGAATAATATCAGTTGCTTTAAAGGATGAAGCAACCGAATCATCTAATTTTATGAAGTAAAAAGTTATGTTATTTATACCTCTAATAAATTACAACACTGTTATTACCTTTACTAGAATATTGTCTAGCCGACCGTTTAACGGTAGGTAAAATTGTCGTGCGTGATTAAGCATGTGCATTAGGTAAAATTGTTCTTTCAATTGTAAAAGCAGAAAATGTTTATGTAAAATAAAAAAATGAAAAGTTTTAAGATGTATATGTGACAAGTAATATAGACTCGATCGAGATGTCACCTAATTTTTTATCATATGATTTCCGGAATTAACTAATTTTGCCCAAAATCACTTAAAGTTTTACTAACGCTAATGAAGTCATAGCCCATTCATTAAGTAAAACTGCCCAACTGATAATTTAGCCCCAAAAATAGTTGACTTGTATTGCTAAATGTCGGCCTAAATCCTATAACAATTCTACATCTCTAGTCCTCTGATCGTATCAGGTTTTCAAAATTCTACTGTTAAACTGTAGATAAAATAGGAAATAATAGGGAAAAAAAATTGATACGTAGTTGAATATGTAATACAGAAATATTGTTGCCACAGACATCCGCGAAACACATAATAGTGACAACGGGTCCATTTGCCAACTGTCCTAGCGTTATCAACCTAAAAAATTTCACTGAAGAAACGCAAAAAACATTTTACCTATGAAACCACCTTCTGCGCACTAAATTTTAATGCTACTAAAGCTCTTTCTAACTTGATAGCAAACCATAACCCTAATCTAATAGCAGCGAAATTTTTTAGGATGGTAACTGTTTAATAAATATCCTAATTCAGGCCGATCGACACCTGAGGCAAGTCGACATCACGACATATATATTAGTGAAACCACCCGGATGGCCATACCCAAAAAATAAATAATAATAAAATAAATAATAAATGAGACTATCTGGTTACATATTGATCTTAAGAATACGAATTTATTTATGATCTAAATCTAGACATAATTAGTATGTAATCATTTTTAATAATATATATTGATTTTATTATAACAGATTTTAAATAATTTTATATATAGTTTACATAATTAAAAAATGACATCTATTTACTAATAATCAATAATTCAATGTTTATATATTAAAAGACATTATTGTATTTTCAACATGTAATTTAACTGTTCTTTCAACCGTCCATTCAAAATATACCGTATTCAAAATTGATGGAACAGATAACTCAGCTATATTTATTTAATATTCAAATAAAATTAAATTAATATATGAAAATAGTACGTAGGACTGGGTGAAATCGCGTTGTAAATTAATAAAATCCGCTACGTAGATCACGTTAGGGTGAAATCCACGTTTAACTATGTTCGTAATCTACGTAGTGTATTTTGCTAATTCACAGCACGGGGTTCACCCTGTCGCAAAATAACTAGTGCGCCGAACAGATCACGGATTAATCACATTCAGTTACAAAGATCATGTGACCAAATCCGTATTCCGTCCAAAGCACAATTAACCAGCACAAATTAAACTATCACAAACCATCTTCGCCAAGATTGAATCTAAAAGTTTTGCAAGGCTTTGTGGACGCCGATAGCGTTTTAAATCTTTTACTTTCCGTTTTTGAATTGTTACCCATATTGCCACCAGCAAATGATCCAGCTAACATTCCTAATAACCCAGGACTTGGGTTCCATACTCGAACCGTTCCTTCTTCAAGTGAACATGATACTATGAATTTTCCATCTCCTGAAAATGTTACAGCTGAGACCGATTTTGTATGGCCCTATGAAATAAAATCTCCGATAGTTTGTTATTACTACTATTTATGAAATATCACTAACTCTTCTTACATACCTCCAGTATGTGCCACCGTGTTGCTGTCCTTAAGTCATATATAATAGATGCTCCTTCCTGTGTTCCAACTGCAAGTTTCTGTGTTCCGCCATGAAATGAAATTGAAGGAAATGTTTTTACTAAATCATGTAAAACATTTGTAGTAGTTTGTAAAACTGTATCCCGCATTTTGGGAATGTTTGGGTCTAATGATTTAACCACCGCTTCTACTAGTGATGAGAGACTGGTGTAAAGTACAAGTGGCTTTTTACGAATAAATAATGATATTAATTTTAAAAATCCGTTTTTTTCTGCAGGTTTTTTAGAGTTATTCGTATTAAGGGTAAGGGTGGAAATGCATAATGGTGTATTAACTGTTGATATTTGAAATATTGCTTTTTGTGCCATGGCTTTCACTGTTGCAGCATTGGCATCAGAATCTATTGCAAATCCAAGTATAGTCTTTACAACTGCCACAGCATCAAAATGTATTAAAGCGAGTTAAGTTTAATATTACAAAATATCAAATACAAAATCAAAAAATGTTTAAAATAAGCAAGGATATAAGGCTCCCATGTTGAAAATCCTTTACCACACAGTTCAAGTGCCGCTAATCGGTGGGCCAATTTAGATTCATCATGTAATAGTAATATAAGTGATAATGCAGTATTCTCGGAGACTCTGTATGTTATATCCATTAAATAAAACCATTATTAAAAAAATTATGAAGTAAAATTTTACATATACTAATTTACTCACGTTTTTGATAAAAATTTAGGGTGATCTGCCCCTATCATTCCTAATAATATTGTTGATTTAGCCATATACTGTTTGGCATACACATCTTGCGACGTTACTGCTGGTACTTAAATTAAATTGGTTTGGAACAATGAAATCAGTGATGCTCACATGAATTAAATAAATTACACGTTGGACAAACAATCCACTCACAAAATTGTTTCCAATAATCAATTATAGACTGTAGCTCAATAGGTGGCATACTAGTTAATGCCGCGGAAAAAAGAGTCTTTGCCGAATGCCGTATATCTTCTATAAAAAAAAAAAAAAAAAAAAAAGGGTTAGACTAAAAATTTCGAGGTTTCGGATAGTTAATAATAATTGAGTACTGCCAAATTAAGCAGGAAATATTGATTCACTGCTTTCATTTGGTAATAAAATATGCATATGCATACCGGTTGGCTCTTGAAAATATTTCGCGAGGAAAGCTAAGGAGGAGTGGTGAAATTTTGTACCTATAAATTCAGGTAACATGGTGCCATAATGAGTGATAATATCACTAGTGTATTTCTCCAGCCCTATAAAAGCAACATTAATGAGTTAGGTTAATATTTAAGCAAATGATAACCATAATTTTTTTTAAATACCTTTCATTAAAAGGAATGGTCGTGTCAAACTAACAATTGACAATAGATGTGTTGCTGTCATTGTTTGAGATATTTTCCAGGCCTCATGATGGTCATAAGAAGGAGCCGCAATCGATAAATTGCCGTTATACCTATTAATGATGTTAATGACCGTTAACAAGTCATATAATAGTCATAAGAAGCTATCAAAATACTTACCCTCTCAAACCAAAGGCTACATGTTTTGATGGTTTTTTCAAGCCTAATTTCTCTAAACATATTCGGTCTAAAGAGTTGTCAATACCCCATGTCATTAAAGCGGAGACTATAACTTGAACACTACTCGCTCCAATAGCCTGGTCCTCTAACTCCGAAGCAGAAGGCAATGACGATGTATTACATTGATGAGAAGCGCCATTAGTTGACCAAGAAAAAATTTTAGAATATTTTTCTGGTTTTTCATCAAAATCTTCAGCATTTACAACTGGAGAATCAACTTTTGAACCAATTTGAGAGACGTGATAATGATAAATATCGTTGATTAATTGTTTGACATTTATCATAAAAATTTGAAAATGAAAAATTCCTACAAAAAAGAATATTATTATTTTATACAGTAGGGGATCATTTATTGAACTAATTAGGAATTAGTATGTATTAACTACCATTATTTTGTAAATTGACAGATGACAAAGTTTTAACTTTATTAAGGGTAAATGCCGTGAAGTCATGAGGTGACACAGTGCTAAATTAATTGCAATGAAATTAGATTTAGAGAATAATAATGATAGGACCTAAATAATAACAATACAGTAAAAACCAACCTAGTTTGCCATGTCTTGTCATTGATCATTTCTCTTGCAGTCGAACCTTTAACAATTTGATATAGCTCCGAAGTCTTCATCTAATAAATATTCCAGTCAGCATAAATTTAATCATTTAATTATTGGCATAATTGATTCAGAAGAGATGATGGCTCACCTGCCATATATGTGCAGATTCATCACCGTAATATAGTACTATGAGGCCTTCAGTTATTCTCCATTGAATTCTGCATATGTGATATGGGTAACCACCAAAACTATACAAACTATTTTGTTGCATTCATATGAGGTAAGTGTCAAGTTAAACTTTGAACAATAAGTATAAAATGAATGAATGCATACCAGCTCATTTCATCCAAAGAAATTATGGCCAAAGAATTATCTTTAGCAACGGAAATTATACATCCTTTAATTCTCGTGCACGTTTCGACGGGCGGCTCAAATAAATGAGTCACGGGCGATGAATGATATGTAAATGATGCTAGCCGCTTTCCATTTCTAATGGAGTGCATGTCAACAACCAAATTCTTTCAATGATTAACAGTACAATAAATGAGTAGAAGCATGGATTATATTTCTTAATGCATTATTGCACCAATGACTTACTCCAAGCTCCATATCCTTACTGAACAATCTTCTCCACCAGACACAAGATATTTGTGATCAAAATTAGTAATATTTGGTGTGTACATACATGTAATTTTTCCAAAATGTCCTTTCAATGTTGTTACTGCATTTAATGAAAGTTCTTTAAAGTCCATTGTCAATGCCGAAGAGATCGGCAAGATATGAATTTCACCATTTTCTGTAAAAAAGCGTTACTTAAATAAATCTGTCTATATAAATATCTTTTGTTATAAATAACTTTCGTAGTATACACACCATATCCAAATGCTATCTGATCATCATTTATCATAGTTGCAACGGTAACTTTAGGAACTTGATGGTCTCGTAATGGCCATAAATCAGACAAACAAGTTCCTACAAATTATTAATAATGAAATTAAATAATGATAATAAGAAAATTAAATAATGATAATAAGAAAATTGAAATATAAGTTTTTTGTAAACTTACCAGAACCCCAAATAGATTCTTGGGCATGTCTATCACACATTTGATGTTCTTGTGCAGTTGTTGACAGCAATTTCCATGCAAATGACGTCCCCTCGACCTGATTGCGGAAAGCAATCAAATACCATCTAGATGATTTTCCCTCAGCACTAGGAGTCGCAAACACAGTAGTCTTGGCAGGACTCATAAAGTCTATAATCAAAAGATTTATTCATTTATACGAATCATTGATATACAACAAAAACTGTCAATTATGACATGACAAAATACCGCTATTTCCTGAATAAACTGATTCTAGTAATTTAGGTCTATAATATTAATATAATGCAAATGTGAGTGATTACAGAATTTCATCTATACAATATATTATAGGATAATAAAATATTTTCGTACTTTGAATGACCAGGTAATGAAAGCTTCTCTTTATTAGGCCTTTTCAAATCAGGTAATGATGAACGCCGTGGAACAAAGCTTGAGTTCATTATATGGCCATTCTCGGAAGGATATTTTCGTGCTGTGCACGATATGGAGTATAAATGCGCGTCGCCAGTCTGTAAAATGTTAATGTTGATTAAATTTATTACTTAAATAACAGTGAAAGTAAATAAAACCATTAATTGTACCTGAGTGTAAACTAGTATCATGTTTTTTGCCAAGAAGACGCCATTAGTCCAAAAGGCACCATTTTTAAGAATTCTTATACTTTGCATATTGTACATTTTACCACGACGTATCGTGAATATCTAAACATAAAAAGAAAAATTATTAATCCAATCACACACCAAAAAAAGATTAGTTGACATCGTAGTTACTTACAATAATGAAATTATTCGTTATTGCCATGATTACGCCGATATCATATGGATTATTGATTAATTCTAAAATTTTGTCCCCCTGAGCCTGAAGTATTCCAACATTGTCATATTCTTTTATAATTGTTTGTTTGTTTTCATCAAATGCCCAGATTTTCAGAAATCCATTAAAATTCGATGATAAAAGTCTTATTTGGCGTGCGTCTGCCAACATCGTACACAAAAAGAGTTGTGAATTAATTAATTGGTACCTTAAAAATGTATAAAGCCAGTTTATTATCTTGTATTTACCGGAATCATAAAATGGAGTACAAGCAACCCAATCGCTATGACCAGCCCAAATCCGTACAATCTAAAATTAATATACATTCGTCAAGTTAATTTTTTCAAGAATACAATAAATTTCAAATTCTGAGAATATATTACCTCCAAAGATGCACAGTTTAATATAGTAATCTCATCTGAGAACCCAGAACAAAGGAGAAATTTAGGTATCTGTACAAACAATGATACGAAGAAAGCTTAGGTAACTATTCGAGCAAGTACAAGTAAAAGACAATCATATGAGTGCCGCCAAGGGAAAACCTGTTATCGGGCTTTCAATATTCAGTTTGTTTTCTGTATGCTATCTAGAAATAGTCTATCATCGGCTTTCAATTATATTTTA